TGTTTCCTCTTCTGCCTGTCTGGAAATCCCAGCTAAGGACCACGGGGACCGACTTTCAGATCCAACGCTGCCCAGGGACGGCAGCATCTCCTGCACCGCCAAGGCTCCCTCCAGAGCAGGGGAACTCCGGTGAGAGCGGGCATACAGCCCTGGCAGTGCCGTGGGTGCACGGAGGCTTTTAGCTCACCGGGGAGGAGGGCAGGGTCCGGGGAAGGAGGATTTAACACTCCAGTGCAACCCAGCCGAGATCTGCAGGGTTGCTGCTGTGCTCATTACAACACGAGCATGGCAGGTTTTGTTTTATTAAAGCTTTTATTGAGCCATGTTTAAAAAAAGAATCTGGAAAGCTGATCACAAAGCTGCTGAAGACATTTTTTGTATTCATTACAAAACGGCTTCCTGGCGTGGACTGAACTTCTGCTGGGCTCTTCAGCTCCGGTCCCCGGGCGTCTTCATCACCTCCAGGGACACAGACGCAGTGGTGAAATCCCCTGCCCAGCCCGGTGGCTCCGTTCCCCTCCTGCCCCACGGGATGTCCCAGCCCTAAGGGACGGCGGGGGCCAACCCCACCCTGTTATTTCCACGGTCAAAGACGGAGTAAAACTGACGGATAAAAATGTCACCCAAAATCCAGAGGGGTCCGGCGGGAGGGGCGATGTCCAACCCTTGGAAGCCGCTGGTGCAGAAGGCCATGCCATCGCTGTCCTCCTGGGGAAGGAGAAGTGCAAAGCTGGGGACGAACCCGAGAGCCTCATGCACGTGGAAACACGCAGGAATGGTGACTGCGGGTCCCACGCACGAAGCAGCGGGGCTTGTCACCCACTGGGACACGCGGGTCAGCTCCCGGGGTGGCTCTGGACCACCTTTGTCTCTGGAGCTGATGGGAATGGGGGGTGGTGGTGCTGGTGAAGCCGCGGCCGTACCATGAGGGTGTAGGCCTGGGCGCTGAGCGTGTGGGGGAGCCCGTTGATGGTGAAGGTCACGTCGGGCATCACGTTGAGGTTGCTGCACTCCACGGCGTACTGCGAAACAGCCGGGTGGCTCAGTGGTGCTGCTCTGGGGCCAGTCCCTCCCGGCAGGGTGGGGGTCCCAGGGGTTTGCCCCCCTCCTCTCCCCTCCCTCACTCTCACCTCTCCATCCACAGACGTGGCACCAATATAGCTTTGCAATTCTTTTATATGCTTGATGGGACCTGTGATGAGCGACGTCCCGGTGTCCACGATGGCCTGGCAGCCGTTCATGCAGAAAATCGTTGTCCCACCCAGCTGGATGCTGGAGGAGGAGGAAAGAGAGGACCAGGAGGGACTTGTCCTGCTCCTCCGCCACAGCCCAGCCCTTCCCTCCCTGCCCAGCACCACTCACTTGTCCAACTGGATCTGCCAGTATCCTTGCTGGGTGACGGGCACCCAGTTCAGGGTCCCTGTGAAGCGGGAGGGGTCAAAGCCACCAAAAAGCAGCTCTCCTCCCAGGGAGGATTCGGGGTTCCTAGGGGGAGGAGGAGGAGACGTGAGGGATTTTCTCCTTTTTACTTTGCACGTTACATTTTAAAAGGGTGGATTTACACCCACTCACTTCCCACAAATGCTTAGGGTCATTCGCTTTATTCCTGTAAGGCCTGAGGACTGAGCTGCTTGGCACAGTACCAAAAAAACCCTTAGCTACCTCACTAAAAATCTTTATTTTCGCAGCCCCTCCTGTTCCCTAAAAGCAATGCCTGAGTCTAAGCAATGTCCCAGAGCAAAGCCATGTCCATACGCGCTCATGTAGACGGAGAACATAGGCAGCTCCACCAGATCTTGTGCCATCATGTTGTCAAAGACGGGGGTGACCCCGTCCACGGCCAGCGAGGGGTAAGCCAGCCCCAGGATCCCGTCGAAGGCGGCATCCACGAAGGTTTTTCCCGGCTCGCTGACGCTCTCTGCAAACTTCTGGTTGCTCACGGTGAGGCCCTCGACCTGTGGGGAGAGGAAGGTTCGATGGCGATGCTGAGTCTGTAGGCAAGTCCCAGGCACGTTGTCCAGAGCGGGGGGAGCCAAAGGCGACTCACGACTACTTGGTCAGATCCGATGACCCCCGTCAAACTGCCGGTCCCGTACTGGATGGAGAAGGGGGTGCCTATCACCTGGTACGTGCTGGACCGGGACGGGTGAAACTTGGCGTGCTCATCTGGGGAAGGAGATGGGAGCTGTCAGCAGAAATGCGATTTATCTGCATGGCCGTGGATGCCAGGAGCCCCCACCATGGCCGGTGGCAGTGACCGGCCTCGGAGCGAAACGATGGGGCAGTGTGGCATCACTAAAATGCCTGCGTCATGGGCACGCTGCCGAGGGAAAGGGCTGCTCACGAGGCATCCAGGCATTTTGGGGAGGGATAAAACTTATTCTCTTTCAATGTGCCTGAAAGGTGTGAGGTTTGTTAAGGGGAGTGGGATTAGCTCATGCGATGTTTCTATGAGACCTGAAGATCAGCACTGCCGTTCCTGTTTGGCAGAGGGAAGCGGCCCCACGGGCACTGCTGTACCCACTTTTCCCCAGACCCCTCGGGCTCAGCTGGAAGCACCCGAGGAGCCCTGGGGCTGCTCAGAGATGCTCCCTGTCCCCTGGGCAGCAGGGCTGGACTCGCCGGGGCTGGCTCATCGCTGAGAGCCCGAACAAGCCCGGTGCTTGTCACCCGCCGAGCTCT